GTTGGATAAATGAGAAAACGCAATATTACATGTGTTTTTTGTGGTAGATTTTTTATGGTTGAACAGCACAACAAAATCCAGGTATAGTTGTATGTTTCATTGTCTGTGTGGAATCAGCTGTATGTTGTATTTCTTTTTTCAATTAATAAATTCTGCATTTAATTAACCTTAACTCACTTTTTGTGCCATTATTTATTCATAATTGTGATTCTTATACTCCTGTATTAATATTGCAGTGTTCTGTATAAACATGTATATTCTGTAGGACACAAGACCAGCACACAACTTTTTTTATTCTTTTTTATTTATTGAATAGTTAGTGTACAAAAATATTTGAGGCAAAACATAGAAAAAAAACAAACACTGAATTTAACATTCATCCTCTGTTTAAGAGTTAAAACACTAAAGCTCAGTGAAGGATAATACTTCCTGTCATTTTAAGGAGATTTCCTGGTAAAAGTCCTTGTATTTATCATCATAGACATTTTTCTCCATTGCTCTATTTAAAGGCTGCTGAGGACTGACTCCCCCTCCGCGCTCTCTCTTCCTGTATTAAAATGAGCTGTCATACAGAGGTGACACTCAGACATAAATCACAAAGTGCATCATCTCCACTGAGAAAACGAGGGTATGAAGCTTTAACCTTTTTTGCTGCAGAGAGGCTGTCAACATTTCCAGCATTACACAACACAAATCACAATACAGTATTTATAGTCACTGCTCAATTATGGATGTACCTGGTTTGATTATAAATGTATATTTAAATGTTCCCCTCCGTAATGAGTCCAATGATAGTACTTGACCACATACATACCTACCATTAGGTATTTATTACACCTTACTGTGACAGTTTACGATACTAAAATCCTAAATCCTTCTGGTTTTGTTTACATACTGCAGGTTTGAAAACCTCCGCCCTGCAAGATGCGCAGATATTGACCTTCTTTCTGTGGTCCACGCTTGTGTTAACATGCCTGAACACCTGAAGCCTAAAGAAATGTTCTGTCCACTAGACAAAGTTATTATGAAGCTTGTCCACATCCACTTCCATTTATCTAACTATAGTTTAACAGTAAAACGATGAGCATCTGGGTCCATTGTCAGCAGCTTGATTCCATCCATCATCCTGCTTCTTAAGAATACTTATTTACTGAGTACACTGTTACTTAAATACAAACACACCATGATAATGGTTTGGAAACTAGTTCAACTGTAGTGAATCATTTAAAGTTTATGTTCAACACCAGCAAAAACAAACTAATTTTAGGTTGAGTTTATGAACTTTCCTGTTGGCTTTCTGACCCACGAGTGAATATCTGATCATGACACCTAAAGATGTTTTTCAAGCAGGAAAAGCACAGATGTTCAGCAGAGACTGGTGGATGATACAGCCGATCTGAAGCTTGTTTTAACTCCTGTTAAACGTTTCATTACACTGCGTCAGAGTCAAATGAAGAATACCACATTACTGATGACACCTGAAGCTTCAAATGTTGCTGGTGCTTCAGAAAAGAGCTTGATTAAGTTTGACAGTTTTCCTGCTAAACTATGTGATGAGCATATTCGTAGGATAAGAAGAGAGAAGAGTAATCTAGAAATTTGACGAATGACACTAGTATCATTAAGTATGAGAACATTTCCAGCTGCTACAAAGTAATAATGTAATAAAAGTCACTAATTTAATGAATATCACATCACATTGTGCTTCATATGAAATGTTACATGAATGATCATGAGCTTAAAACGCATGAGCCCACAGTGGACACTGGGTCTAAACTACCAAAATATATTATATTATATATTAACAATATATTAATTATTTTACTTTAACATATTGCACAATAATATCTACATTTAATGTAGCTTTTCTGTAAAAAAAAGTATTACAGATTTAATGATAACATGCAGGCTGGTTGGTCTTGTATAGCACAAGACTGAAACAGTTAACTCACTGAGGCTTTCAGCCCAATATTTAAGGGTTGCAGTAATTTCTGAAAGCCACCAGATGTCACCGTGATTCCTGCGTTCGTCGCCTCAAAGCCTCTCTTAGAAAGACCCAAAGTTTCATAAGGCCCTCCACTACTAATACCATTAAAGTGCAATCATACTGATTTATAAACCTGTCCTTTCCCTGCATGCTCCTTGCGTTACCACAAGGTGCACTGACCATAACCTCATCAAACCACAGTCCTGAACGTCTCACCGACTTCAACTTCCATCCTGAAAGAGAGAATCTCCAGGCATCAGTGAGGGAGGGGTTTAGGGATTAAGACACAAGAGGAGGCTCACCTTTTCAAGTGAAGCGCCGGACCTCAGGTGTCACGCCGCTGGTGACCGAGGGGAGAGATGTGAGGGAGGGCCTGGGTTCCTGGGGCCTGGGAGGTTAACTGTACTGTGTGCCCCCCTTCAGGAGACAACAACAGTCAGTCTGTTATAATCAACCAAAGGGAGAAACAAGAAGGGACTGCAGAGACTTGACGAGGCAGCAAAATGTACTGAAAGTGCTGAAGAGATGGAAAAAGACAGATAGAAAAAGGGGGAGAGAGCCAGCACCTGTCTGTGGTTAATTTATTAAACAGACTAGCTCTGATGAAGGTCTGCAGCCATATTTGAGTATTCTGCAGTAACCTAGTGGTGCAGAGAATAAATGCTAAATGCTCTTTCATCCAGAAATAATGCCAAATCCTCGTTTGTGCCAGGAGTACATACAACAGTATCAATAATATATACGCCTCTTTATGTGACCGTGCTTTTGCATTATAGAAGGTTTTATTATATCTCTATAAATAATTAGCAGCACATTATGGAAAAAAAGAGAGGCTACATGCATTCAAATAACAAAATCTGAAGATGTAAAATGTTTTAATTGGTTTCCACTTTATTTAATGTCCCATGAGATGGTGCCATTACGGTTTACCACGGCACTTTGCACAATTATTCAATCAATAATGTGTTCCTACTCTTTGCTACAAGGTACAGCAGCTTCATATGTAACTACATGCATGGCCACAAACCTTTATTTATATATATTATAAGAATATTAAAGTATAGGAATAGAAAAACACATAGGTCAAAACACACAATAGTGAGATTCTCCAATACCCTTTTGTCCCCTTTGAGGTCAAATTGAAACTAATGAAAATAACTAATTAACAGTAACAGAAAAAAAAAAAGTCCTCGGTCATATCAGAGTGTTTATCCTTTGCAGATGATGTCCTCCTTTTAGACATGCTACCACTGAATTTGGCCTGTGACATGACTTTTCGGTCAAAAGCGTTTCAAGTGGAGTCCTCCAGTCAAATTTACATGACAAGATAATAAAAAGTAAAAGCACTCGAGTGAGTGAAATTCAGCTTTCAAGTTCTCAGCCGCTAAAAGTTGCAATTCAAGGATTACTTTTCCAAGCATTTTCTTATCTGCGGCCCTCAGAAAGCTGATAGAAATGATTCATTAATGGTCCTCCACACTCATCCAAAAAGTGACTGACATTGCAATTCATTATCTTTCATAGATTACAATATTGTTGTAAATTGTAATGACAACTCTCAGACTTGTTTGTGAATAAACAAAAAAAGAGAAGTTGAGTTTATTTTTAGTTTTATTTTTTTTTTCTCCACGACTACGTCATACGTCTTGACGATTTTCATAAAACACATTCACAGGTTCACAAAAGTTATGTTAATTACAGTGAATAAAGTTTTTATAACACTTCAGAAAAACTAAACACAATAAAGAGTAATTTCTTATCCTTAACTGAAGCAAATACTGGTGGAATTTGCTTTCATTTATAAAAGCTACTAGATATATATATTTCAGTATACTTTTCATTTAATAACGCCTTTTTCTTGTTGTCTTTACACAATAGTTTGCTGAAGACAAACATGAATGTTCTAAACAGCAATACTCATAACTTAAAAGAGCTGCACATTAACGATATAAAATATAAAAATTAAATACTCATGAATACTTGACAAGTGGAATATTGTCTTTTCTCTTGAAAATGTGTAAGTGTTCAACAATATTTGCTGCACTGCTCGGTGAGGTTATATAATACATAACTATTTCCATGTAACAAAGAGGAAAGGTTAGGGAGGTCCAAGGTGTACTAAACTAGTAACAGTGGTGCTCGAGGGCGGCTGTGCACTCTCTCTTTAATTGTTCTCCACCTTCAAATATGCAGTGTCACCCATTTATTTTTTTATTCTTTATTAAAAAGATCAAGAACATTTCTTAAGGCTCACAGGGTGACTGTAACAAGAATCACAGAACATTTAAATGAACTTTGACAAGATTTTTTTTCCCCCTTTGAGAAACTCCAAACTTGTTTTTAAACAGCTTTTTTTTTCCTCAACAATGTCAAATAGTTCCTACAGTACCAACAGTATTCCTTTAACATAGATAACAGAATGCGAGGATGCCTTTACATTGTTAAAAGTTGTGAGGCATTTCATGAGTCCTCGGTTGTCATTAGTCATTTTCACATTATTTCTTTGCCAGTAGACAATATCAATAACCAGACATTTGGCCACAGAGTATGTCATGAAGATACTCAGAGACTTTGTATAACACATAATTGTGGGGCATTTCATTTACTGCACCACTTTAGGCCCCTTCTACATTAACAATTGCTTAGTTATTGTTTTTAGGGCAGGCTGTGTTAAAAGCGTCGGCCACCAGGGGGCCCTGGCCACCTCTGGCCTCTGCCAGGTGGGGGGTGAGGCGGAGGAGAAACCGGTCCATTGTGGTAGCTGTGTAAAAGGATAAAATCACACATTGGATTCTTGGCTTTGGCCAATAGGGGGCACACTCTGATAAGAGCAGCCATCTGAACTATTCTAGTCAGGGATGTCACCCCCTCTCAGTTACTGTGAACCTTTTACTGGCAAAACACAGTGAATGTCTGTCCTAGTTTCATTATTCCATGCACTATTTAATTAGTATGGCTTCAAATAGTTGAGCAGTCTTTTTTTAAATTTATTTATAAAGTTAACATTCCTTAACATTTGTTATAGTAAAGACTATTTGGACAAAAATATGTATTATTTCTTCTATTTGATAAACAAACTGAGAAAGAAATGTGATCATTAGAGGACAAGTTAAAGTGAAGGAAATTAAGCTATAATGAGGCTTAAGAGAAAAGGGACAGAAAGGACAATGCATTGTGTCACAACCCGCAGTACACTGCATTATACTTGCATCACAGATTTAAAAAGGAATAGAACTGGTGTAAGCACGTCTCAAATGCAAACCAGATGTGTTTTAAATCTATTTAGGAAATGTAAAAAAGCGTGCAAGGAAAGTGCAGAGAATTGTGACTTGCAAAGCTTAAAGCATGATAATAATATTCAAACTGCTCTTACCCTCTAGGGCCACGGGGGTGGAAGTGGCGTGGAGGTCCAGGGGGCGGCATGCCACGGCCTCGAGGGTGTGGTGGGCGCCCTCTGAAACCAGGGTGACCTGGGGGAGGGGGTGGAGGAGGTCCGTGCCTACAGACAGAGACAGGGACAGGTATCGGTAACACGTACACTTTAATGTACAGTTTCAATCAGAGGAAACCTAGTATCCACGCAAAATATCTACTTTTTAGGACAGACAACCCTGTATGAGTGTCTGTGCGAATGACTGTGTGTTTGTGTGAGGTGGTTACCTGGGCATGGGTGGGAACGGGCCCCTGAGGTGCATGGGAGGTGGAGGGGGAGGAGGAGGAGGAGGAGGAGGGCCCATGCCCATTGGTCCACCCCTACCTCGATGACCTCTCATGTCTGGGTACGGTCGCATCCTCCTCATTCCTCTGGAAAGGCAGGAAGTGCATTTTAAGTTTAAACACAGAACATATCAAACGGTAGTTGTTTAATATTGGGTGTAAATCTTCTATGAACAGAAAAAACTAATATTTTTTAAACTTAAAATGTACTTCCTTAATATGTTTCGTAACACACTGTTTGTTTGCACACTAACCAATTAACAGAAACAAGGATTTAGTCATTTATACTTTAACTTATGTACATTTCAGTACCTCATGGGGGCAAATCCATTCATGGGTCCATCTTTCGGTCGACCCCTCCCGTGTCCAGGCGGACCAAATCCTTTCATCATGCCCCGCCCACCGCGCATGCCGCCTCGACTCATCCGACCGCCTCGACCACGGCCTTTAAACCCACGACCCCTGGGGAGATTCATCAGCATAGAGACGTGAGTGTAGCACCTCCAGTTCTCTCTGGAGCGTGTGTTCACTCAAATGACGAGGAGGAGGATTGCTTTCTATTCACATGCAGTTAAAAAACCCTCATGTTTCCATTAATACAGCATTAGACGGTGAGGAACCTTAAGACTGACCTGGCTTTGTTGTCCATAATCGGTCTCTCAGACTCATCCTTGGAAGTTTTTGAAGTTTCTGTCATCTTTTCTTCTGTGTCTGCATCCATCTGAAATGATGCAGGTCAGTATTTATATACTGTGTCATGGTTGCATCTCCTTAGGTTAGTATTTAATAAAATGTACATTCTCATGTGTCACACAAACAAAATATAGACGACACAAGCTAAGACAAGATCTCTGCATACAAAAATGCATTTTGCTTCCACACGCTAAATGTGTTATTCAACCTCTGTAAAGAGGACATTTTACCATTTGAAAAATGAATTCATGCAGAAATAAGTTCCCTGCAGCCATAAAGTAATCAAGCATGATGTAAGCAAATGGGAAGCCTCATCCCCAAAGATTCATCTACAGAAAAAAAACAGACATAACTGATGATATTTTAAACCAAAAAACACATTTATTCCAATAATATAACTGCTTTTATCAGATTTTAATGCTCAGTGAAGCGCTTGCAATATCTCTTTTATGTTATAAGAGGTAAGTTTTGATTATAATACTCACTGATGAACAACCTATTTAGGTATGTGTTTCTACAATGTGCCACGAGGCTGTTAAAATATCATTCAGCAGATCTTGGACACATGAAACCTCAGCGGCGCAGTCACTGCATTGCTCTATCACTGGGTGTGACAGACACATGTGCATTCCTCATACTGAAGCAGGTGAGACATTTGCGAGTTAAGCACAGACGACCGCAAGTCAAAGCTGATAGTTGGGAAATTATTAATAGTCCCAAAGCCTCGGATCACGACTGTAAAGTACTGAATCTGTTGGAGACGTGGCGTAGGAGAGTAGAGGTTTGTGATATAGGGGGAAAGGTATAGTAAAGGATAAGGGGATGGGCGCTAAGCAAGAAACTGCAAATTAACATATTTGGGGAATTTGCATTTTGGAGTAAGTTGTAAAATATTTGCCCTGAGGGAGCCGCTGCCTCAGAAAAACAAATACTAAAAGGAGGAACCTGTAACTTTTCTTCCTTCCAGTGTTTCTGATCAGATCCAACAATTCCCACCAGCTTTAAATCTCCTTCTAGAAGAACCATATTCTTATAGGATAAAGTCAATTAAGATACAGATCAACTGTTAAGTCCCTGTAGGAATAACATATTATTATTAATAAACAATATTGCAGATGATAATGCAACAAGGTATGATGAGCTTACCATTTCTCCAAGTTTATGTGGGTCTAAAAAACACAAGTTTTAGGATCAGAGATCATTTGTAATCCTTAATTACTACTTATTAAAGCAATTAATTGTGTGTTTTAACACTTTATCTACATTTTGTATGTTGTTTACTACTAGGTAAACTGTATTAAGTCTAAACCAAAAGCCCTGCAATTAATCCAAACTCCATGAAGGTTAAATTGTTCAGTTTTTCTTATGGTTATAGGAGTCTGTAGTATATAGTGGTGTCTGTATTAAGCTATAGGCTACTAAATAATGTGTCCATCCCATTTAAATCAATCTTTAACTACATCTGTACATATGGGTATCTTTACATCTAATGCACATGGAAATAAACATGAAACTTTAAAGAAAAGACTGTAACCAGTGCCAAAAAAGGGACCATATATCACCACAGTGTTATTTTAAACTAAATAAGCCTGCAGAGCCAAAGGCACGTCGAGCGTCATGGAAACATTTTTATCCTGATCCCTGAGAGAGGAGGTTGGAAGCTGTGTGAAACCATTAAATATTAAACCAGGAGCATCAAAACAATCCAGATTCAAGCCTCTAATAATACTCAACACTGCTGTGGCACGTAGGAACTAATGTTAAAACGCAGCCGGCTAAATTAGGATGCACAAACACCAACCAGGGAGGGCCCCGTCTAATTCCTGGACTTGACAGACCTGACTTACAGTAGTGTTGTTGTTGTTGCTTCGTTAGAAACAGCATTCAAGTCGGAATTCGACGTTTGGAAGAGCTGATGAGCTAAATTCGTGTTAACTTCTTTAAAAAAAACCCAAATTAAGCACCTTAACAACGAGTGTGTGTGTTTAAAGTCGTGTAACGCGTTTGGAGAGGGGCGTTCCTGGGAGCCTAGAGGACTTACTTCTGTTGGTGATGCAGGCGAGGTAGATTCAAAAAGTGATATAATATCCCTATTTTCTAAGAAAAATTAAAAAAATATATTAGAAAAATATACACAACAAAAAAAAAACAATGTACAAAATTCCCAACAGCTTGTGTCGCGCTTTGAAATGGCGGCGTCAGATTAGACTACGAGCCAGGATTTTCTTTGTGAGGGACAACGTTATGCGGAGGCCACGCCCACCGGGAAGGAACGCCGGTGTCTGATTGGCTACTCCCTGCTCTGATCCCGCCCCCTTTCGGTGTTTTGGCCTTCTGATTGGAGGAAACGTCTGACGTGCGTTCTAATTGCGGTGCTCAGTCTGAAGACGAAGCTCGTTAATTAACTGATTTAATTTAAGATGTTTAGGTAAAATAAAACATGTTTGTGGAAATAATCTGGATTTAACGGTGTAAAACATGTTTAACAAGTCTGATGTGTTTGTGCAATTGAAGAAAAATAAGAATTGGATAGACAATTTCACTCACTTTAAACGAAATGACTTATTATTTAATAGCTTTCAATACGCAACAAAACAAAAATATCATGCAGCTACTTCAGTTCTAAAAAAATATACCAGTAAATAACAGATTAAAAAACAGTATCAAACACGTATGATGCGGTTTCTCTTAAGTTCTCTGTTAACACAAACGTGGGGATATCGGAGAGGTTCTTCATCAGTAAAGCTGTATTTCATACCCATCACGATCGAAACATATACATATCAACAAACAGCAAACTCCATTTCCAAACAGTGAATTCATAATTCCAACAAAGGCAGCCTCATATACAAAAATAATTGCCAAGTGCCCGTAAACAATATTTACATCAAGAGAAGGGCCAAAACAAAACCAAAAAAAAACAAGTGAAGGAAAAATAAGAAATGAAAACGATTAAGTTATCTTAAAGATGTTGCATTACTCATCAGAGATATAAAACTAACTCCATCAAATGAGCGTAAACCCGATGCGTAAAAACAGTGGTCCATTTGGGTCCGTTACGCGCGGCCCAGGATGTCTGAAAGCTTGTTGATGTATTCAATTGTGTACTTCAGGGTTTGTATCTTGGTCATGGGTTGTCCTCTCTTGCTGTAGTCCGGCGGCAGGTAGTCGCGGAGCTGGTGCAAAGCCTCTGCGAGACTCCTCATGCGCATCTTCTCCCTCTCGCTGGCCTTCATGCGTCTTTTGGTGGACATCTTGGGCTTGCTCAGCCTCTGCGCCGCCGGAGTCGCCCTGCGTCCCGAGAAGCCGAAGGAGTAATCACCGATCTCCTGGTGCCCGCTGGAGTAGCACATTTCCGGCGAGGAGCACATCGAGGACTCCGGTGAGGTGGACTGGAGCGAGTCCTGGTCCTCTTCTCCAAATGAACTCTTCTGGATGTCCCACTCGGACAGTATTTTCGCTACCTCCAGGTCCATGTTAGAAACAATATCCCCCGGGACGACCAAGAAGTTCCACGCAGCGCAAGATGGCAATGACAGATTCTTGTTGAAGGTGATTTTGCCAAAGCGTTTTTATACAGAAGCAGATCTCCGGAGGGTTTATGGGTTCACAGCTCAGGCGAGAGTTCAAAGAAAACCTCAAGTGCCAAAATGCGACCTTCCCGAAGGACGTCGTTCGTTATCACTCGGGTGTGAATAAGGCTAAATAGACGGATAATGTGATGGAAAGAAAAATAATTAGATTCCTTTTGTGGGAGATTACTCTTTAAAGTCTGAACGACGACAATTCTCAGTTTGATGTGATTTGTCTAATGAAGGACTGAGGGGATGCTGTTTCACCTGAGAGCTTCACACCACTCTGGCAAAGTCAGGCCTGCGTGTGTCTCCAGTCTGGAAGTCACATAGTCAAACACATACAAACACACACAGCACTGTGCTGCCTGTCAATAAAAGCAAAAAAATCATTTATTATCACTTCATATATTAAAAATCATGTTGCTACTTGTGTCCAATGCAGTTTTTTCTCCTGTTTGAGGAGTTCATCCATCCTAAAAATGACACAATTCAACAAACTTTTTGGGAAACAAGCTGAGTTATTCTGACAAACTTCACTTGCTTTAAGAAAACTTTAAGATTTAAGAGCCAGTGCTAGGACTGTAGGTTGTTATTTGGGCAGAGGATGCAGCTGTCACCAAGCTCCTGCCAGACCTTTTCATGTCTGCAAAAGGTGTGTAAGGCCTCACTCATGATCAAGGGGGACCAACACTGGCAGGTTGTAAAAACCCCAATGGCTCAGCGTCCTCTGTCCCCCCTTTCGGCTGCAGCGCTTTTCTCCCGATATGTTAAATGACATGTAGCTTGTCAAACAGCAGTGGGAGAAAACAAGCTCATGTGGTGCTTTTAAATGGTATTTAGTGCTGAAAGACTGTGCTAATCCACAAACGTGTCCCCTGATTTACATAAACTGTCCCTTTCAGGTTTTGTCGAGGCTCAAACTTTCTGCTATAAAAGCATTCTTAAAGAACTTATTATTGTTTTGCGACAAACATTTAATAAAATGATTTCTTATTGTTCAATTCAGCTGAAAAGAATGATTTTGAGGTCCAAAACCTTTTTCTGGAGCTTTCAAACCACAGACACTGTTTGATTTAGGATCACAGTAACACTTTATGGCAAAGCTAAGACTAACATTTATTTTATTAATGAACTGTTTGGTCTATAAAACATAATAAACACAATTTAGTCCTAGCTGATGTTATCAAATGTCTTGTTTTGTCTGACCCAAAACCCAAAGACATTCAACTGATTATGTTGAGACGAGAAAAAGCAGCAAATTCTCATATTAGAGAAGCTTGAACCACCAAAAGTTTGATTTATTTCCTTAAAAAAAATGGCTTTTATTCAATTATTAGATGATCAAATCAGTTTGCTGGTTAATTTTCTGTTGATTATTTGTTGTAAAGACCTAGTAGATGGACCTTGAGTTACAACTGTCCATGGTTAATAGTAAACCTTCACATTCAGCATAAAGTCTCTAACATGTTCTCATCCATCATCCTGTAATCAGCTCACTTCAGGAACTTGAGCCTCAGTCTCTCTGCCAGCGGCAGTGGACTCTCGCCGCAAATCACCGAGTCGTCGCTGTCTAACAGAGCGACGGGTGATGCTGGAGTCTGAAGGACTTCCTGGCGTGTGCTTTTGGTCGATACAGGTACGAGCTGAGATGTTTTCATCGCCGGTTTGGTTGTTATAGGTTTCAGGGAGAAGTCTGAGAGGAAGATGCTCTTGCTCTTGTTTTTGGGCTTGATGTGGGCTTTTCTTTGAGGTCCATGCTGCTGGTTCTCTGCGTCACTTTCCTCACTGGATAAACACACGCTCGTGCACACAGTCTTCTTGGTGTTCTGCGGTACGGTTTTGTCCCTGTGGCTTTGACCCGGGTCAGACTGGCACCTCTGTGGCACGACAGCCGATGATGCTTTTCTGACAAATGTATATTTCTGAGGAGGCTTTCGGGAGCCTTTACATTTGTCCCTTGTCTTATTTTGAGCCTGTACTGTAGGTCTGTGTGAGCTGTGAGTTCCTGTTTCTGCCTTATTTGTTGCACACTGCCTTTTGTCAGTGAGAGGTTCTGTATTGTTAACGGCAGATTTATTTCCTGACAACTGACTGTCAGCCCTACCTTTACTGGGGATTTGTCCACTTGGTTTCGAGTTATGAGAATGAATGTGTTTGAGAGAGGCCGACTCATAGTCGAGTTGTTTTGAGACCACATCACCACCATGGTCTATGGCTTTAGCTGTGTTCCTCATGAGCACCCTCTCCCTTAGAGGACACTCTGTGTAGCACAACTCTGGAGCAGATCTGGAGTCCGCTGCTTCTTTCACGTCACTTGAGGTTTTCTGTTTGGTGTTTTCGCCCTCTGTTTCTCGGACATCACCGTCTGTCGCTTTGCCGAGCTTGGGCTCAGTGCTGTGGTTTGGAGAGGATGTGAAGGACAAAGCTTCCCAGTCGATATCACTCAGGTGTAGAGCGTCAATAACAGCAGAGACAGAAGGTGATGCCTCTGTAGCCTCTGATGCGGTATTAGACAGAGGAGTATTGGGGCAATCGCCCACACTGCTGTGGTCTTCTTTAGACTTCCGCTGCTGTTTTTGGTTCACTGGAGTGTCCAAAACCACCACTTCTGGCTGCTCTATGTTTAATATAGCAGCTTGTGGTTGAGTATTAGAGGAACTCTGAAGGGTCATCTGAGCCATGAGGTCAGAAATACCGTCCGAGACATCGGGCTGCTTCTCCTTTTTACTCTTTGGCTTCCTCTCTGTAAAGCAGATCGAGACTGGATGTCAGAGTTAACATTTAAAAGGATTTCAAACACATTTTGAACCAGTTACTGTGAACATATTCACTCTGGTATTACTTGACCGTGAAGTCTCAGTGGGTTTCCTACACATTAGGAAGTGAAGCTCTACAGCAGTTATGACTTGGGGAGGAGGGGGGGTGGGAGCAAAGTACAACCTGCATAAAGTGACAGCGAAGCCCGCGAGACAGACACCTCTCGGCTGCATCAAAGCTTTTGGTGTGAACTAGTCGAGCTGCCAAACTCTACATTTTCAGGTGTCAGAGCTGCTGTAATAGACAGCCTTGAAAAACAAGTCAAAGCTCCAGGTGCCTTTGATCAGGACGCCCTTGTCAGCAGTGTGGGAAGTCTTGGAGCTTGTCAAGTCTGTGGGGGGGCTCCCATCTTTATACGCTACATGGTTCATGTCACAGAATATTACATTTGATGTACTAATGTGCTTCTATTTATAGCGAATACGATAAATGATGGTCTTACTCTTGGTCTTGTTCTCTTCGGCCAGAGCTTTGTCTCTCAGGTAGCTCTCCACCACCTCTGGGTAGGCCACACGGAAGAGAGCCTCTTCCTCCACCGTCCTCACCTCGTGTTGGTCCTCTGCAGGCCGATCCTCAGGAAACACATAATGTTCTGTAGAACAAAAAAAACCCTCAAGGTCAGGTCCAAATTGGTCTCAGTATGTTTATTTTATACAGGAAATAATGTGGTTAAAGGTCCAGTGTGTAACATTTAGGAGAATCTATTGGCAGATATTGAATATAACATTTATAACTATGTTTTCATTAGTGTGTAATCATAGGAATCATTGTGTTTTTAAAACCTTAGAATGAGACGTTTATATCTTCAGACAGCGTGGGTCGCCTTCCACAGAGTATGTTATTTTATATTTTTATATTTTCGATTTATCTACAGTCTATAAGAAAAATGAAAAGAATCTATCAAAATGTCCTAAAGTGATATATAAATATGTGATTTACTAGCACGTTGAAGGAAAAATCAGCATATTCTAACATTTGAGAACCGAAAAACTATTAAATGTTTGTAATTTCTGCCAGTTGCCAGTTAATTATATTGATCAACTAATAAGTTAATCAACATATTATAGCAGCTCTACTTTCCCCTATGACCTGATTTGCAGACGCACTGTTCTTAACAGAGGGCAGACAAGAATTTATAGACATTTTCATACAAATTGGTAATATTTTAAATATTTTAATCATAAATCCAGTCATGTCTTTTCACCCACTTTCTCAATAAAGGGATTTTGGAATACAGATTCATTAGATTTAGATTTATTTGCGATATAATGTACTTTGGGAATATACAAATAAACCTAATTTTCCTCCTACTTCAGCAATATTTCTCTGTTTGGACTCAAACATTTAAACAGTGAACTACAGTTTACAGTAACATTGAACATGATACAATACAACAAATGAGGAACCACATTCTGAATTAGTTGATTGAGAATTTGTGAAGCCGGTCACGTCGGGCGGGCTTGTTAGTGAAGCGGACTTTGATATGACAGAGAGGAAGCCGGTTTAGCACCTAGTGGCCGTTGTGACTGATCTGTCACCTCTGAACCCGACCTCACAGCAAGTCACTAACAGACAACCCGGTGACGAGCACCCCGCACCCCAACCTCCGCTTAATGCAGCAGTCGTGTCACTCAACCCAGAGGATGTTTTCTTAAAAATATCGCCTGTTTTTTCTTCCCCCCCTCTGACTGCAGGACAACAGAGCATTGTTGATTGCATTGATGTGAAGAGCAGCCTTCGGTGAATGATTTAAACTGACCTGGGGTGCTCCAGATGATTTCGAAGCAAGCGACGGCACTCCTCACCCTCGGTTTTAATATTCTTTTATAGGAAAAAGGTGTTGTTCATTATTATGTACTGAAATATAATTTTACGACAACAGTATCAGTAAAGAAATTGAGCTTGTAGCTACCTGAGGGGCTTGATTTGGGAGGACATTTCTCTTCCATATTTTCTGTTCATCAACTCTGCATACGTCATCAAGACTAAAACCTTTTCACTGGTGTAGTGCTTCGGCCACTCCATCTTGTCATAGGCAAATTTCTGGAAAACAACAAATTTCCACATGAAATTCACTAAAGAGAAAACTAATTGAACAAGTAATTTAAAATCTTATCATTACCTGTATCAGCAGCATATTTGGTTGTCTTCTCTTGAAATGTGACACAGGTTTATCCTTGGAAATCAGAAACTCACCAATGATCTGCACAATGCAATTTAAAGTGTTAAAAACCATATATTGTGTATTACTATATTATGAAAACATATACGCACATGAACACAGCTGTACCTCTGTAAAGGGGAACTGTTGGCTTGCCAGTGTTTTCCTAAAAAAAAAGAAATGAAACCATCCTTTAAAATCATTTCACCTATTAGTTTAGTTTTTAGTTACTATTAGTTTCCAAAGTCCAAACATATCTTTAAATATTGTTTTGTCTGAGTAATAATCAAAAACCCAAAGATATAAAGTTTACTGTCATAGAAGAGTAAGAAAACCAGAAAAATATTCACATTTGAGTGGCTGGAAACAATTAACTGTTTTCCATTTTTGCTTATAAATGCCTTAATGAATAATAATGAATAATCTTTGATAGACTTATTATTCTGCTGCTAGTCTTTGATCGTCCTTTTAATATGTTGCCTTTATTTTCTTCCTCTCTTGTGTCATTCCACTTCTGCTTTTCATTTTCTGAACTTACAATTACAGTTTGTGTGATAAAATAAAAACAGAAAGTCACATACTTCCTGATATTGGCCTCAAAAGAAAAGGCCTGGCGGGTCTGTTCATAGCGGTGCCAGTCACAGGGACACTGGTAGTCAAAGTCCTGAGGTTGGCAGAAATGTTTGCTGTCACAAAGCACGCAGCCGCCGCGCTCGTGTGCCTTCGCTGAGCCTGAATGAACGGAGGAGATGAATCAGAAGAGTTAAAACGGACGAAGCAGGTCTTTAAAATCTAACATGCGACTACAACTTGGGTGTAAAGTCGGATGCTTATTCAAACAAACCCATCTCTCACATACGTGTATGTTTTAACATGACAGGTTAAATCCTCTCAGGGACACACCTCCCTGCAACCCTTTGTTTATCACCTCTAATCAGGATCAGCAACAGGGGTCAGAGTTCAGAGCGGGGCACCACTCACCGGGATGTCGACATACGTGGCAGTGAGCGACCTTCTTCACAACTCCCTCAGACCCGCCCGCTTTCTCCTCCTTCCACTGGACGAACCTGGAGGTGATCAGGGAAGTGAACACAACATTATATTCACTCTTTATGTGGGACGAGGTGATAAAGTTTGAGTTTCCTACCTCTGCAGAAGTGTTTGTCCTTTCAGCATCTGGATGAGCTTCAGAGCTTGCTCTTTACCAACACCTGGTATGCCCTTATGGAGGTATGACAATGTACAGTTAATATAAATCATTAATATCTGTGATTTTGATGTTGTAAATTTGAAATGATGTTGCCCTTCGCTACCTTAGGAATATAATCACAACCGAGGAGGATGGCCAGACCGACAAGATTCTCCCTGGAGAGATGTAACTCTGTTTGTACCTTGGCGGTCTTGTAACAGTCGACCTGAGGGTCCTGGAGGGAAAAGTGAACAATATTTATTATATGTATGATTTATATTTGATGTTTTTTACAGTCAAGGCATCAGAAGACAGACTCAAACAAATAGATATGGACATAGATGAAATACTGCCTAGTTCAATTGCAAAGATGAAGTGCTGCAGCTACTGTAAGAATCATGAGTTTTAATGATGTTATTGACTAAATAAATGATAAATGCCAGTCACAAGTTATAATAATATGTGCCTTAACGTTTGGTTTTGCAGCCAAAAGTATGTGGAAGAGAGAAAAGCAACTATATAGTCACATTTGCTGTTATAATCAGCAAATATTTAGTATCTTTACTTGATAAATACCATAACAATGCATTAATTAGCTGTTTCTTTATTACTTTACTAATGATTTTGCCAAGAAGTAATGAAATAAAATGCAACACCCCTCCTTCACAGGCTAAATTAAAATTTACACTTGGGCATCATAAAATAAAGCTAATCTAAGCTGAATAGTACGTATCCTTCAACCCTATTGTCTATCCATATAGGAGTTTTATGGATGCAATTAGGAACAAAAACTTTACTTTCCTTCTGGAAATCAACAGGGAATTTGTGTTTAATAAAAAAAATCCTGGAAAAATCACCACTCTGACAGGTGCTCTGTGTTACTTTAGAGTTCTGGAGAAAGTTTAATCTATATTTGTGTGTAAATTTGAGTGATCACAGGCAGAAGTTCAGTACAAATCCCCCCAGAACAGCCTGAACCGAAGAAGCCTTTCGACTGAGCAGGTGAAGCTTATTCAACCCGGTGATCTGCGGTTCCACTTCCTACATAATCTCGTACACTGTGGATGAGCGACGACCTCTCGCAGACGTACTTTGCTGTTCACATTGAAGTTCCTGTAGACGGTCCGGGCTCCATACAAGAAGGCGTCTCCATCGTTGGTGATGCAGCCGTCCACCAGGCCCTGTGAGTCCAGGTAGGCACACATGGCCTCAGCCTCCCCAGCAGCTGTCACCCAAGGCACACCCAGATAGTCCAACATGTCTGCACACTACAGAAGGAAAAGAAGGACAGAAGAAGTGCTTAAAAACAACATTTTTATGAGCTGAGAGGTGAAGGAAACAGTGGAGGACCAACCTCTCTGAGCACAGCTTTAAAGCGCCCTCTGCTGGTGTTTGTTGTAGATTTAGGGGCAGAAGCCTTTTTGAACCCCCCATATCTCGTTTCTGTCCTCTTGCTCATGGTTTCAGCTTTAAGTTTAGGGGCTTCTCCCTCCATCACAAAGACGAGCTTCACCCCCATGAGGGTGAGGGATGACACCCTGAAAAACAAATTCCTGGACACAAAAGGAGCAGTGTGTTTGGTGGCAGCAAAAACACAGGGGCTTTGAACTGAAGCTGGAGGGGATTCATTGTGAATTACCTCAGGTGGGGTTTGGTAACCCTCCCCATCATCGCCTGCACATGCTGGGCCTCGCACACCCATAAACTCAGGTCGACTGCCAGCGTCTGTCCGCTCAAACTGTACAGCGGCACCGACTCACGAACCGGCTCCACGATGGACCATAAATCGTGAACACCCATAGTTAATCCCTCCAGGAAGAAACAAACAAAACAAAACAAAAAAAGGGGGTTTTAACCGGTTTAACCCGAGTGGGGAGATGTTTAGACAACGATAATACGACACGACACAACACAGGAGGAGATTTCAAAACTGTGGCGCCGTTGGGCCCCGTTCCAATTCGTGGGGCATGTCTGTACTTCGCTGCCTCGTTTGTGGTGTTAACTGTCACGACGGCGAAGACCAAGTGAACTGTACGTTTAAGTTGACTACGGGTCGTCACTGGGTTTTAATGTGGTTAAAATAGCAGTCACGCGTTTAATCAACACGCTTTCAGGAGAACAAGGTGGGGAGGAAAGGAAACACTTTCACGAAGCCGAGCGGAGCCGGCCATTTTAACCCGAACGTCTTAATAAAGCGCCGTTGCTATGGATACGAGGCTCTTGTTTACAGGCTGAGGAGGTTTTTTTGTTGTTGTACTTTTTTATTAGAAATGGACTCAAACATGCGCCTAGAAATTGTGGGGTTAGTTAAAGACCGTGGTTTTCATGTTGCCAAAAGTGTTGCCGAGGTAAACAGTTATTTTTTTTTATGTTTTATGTAAATTAACTGGTATTTTTTCCCACCTGGATGCTAACAATACTTTTATTAATGCACAAACAGGGACTCAAACAGAAGTTTCCTGAGTCCTTTCTGGATCCAAAAATTCAACCCCTGTTGGAATTTGACTGGCACACATATCTGTGCAACAAGAAAAGGGTAAGTCGTCCGATTATAGGGGTCTGACATCCAACTCATCCAGTAAATTACTCAGAAAAGGAGACTTGTGTGCACATTGTTTGCAGTTATTGTTGCTGATACCAGACCACTGCACAGGTTAAATGGTTGGAGGGATGCTGGGAGACACATAATGTCACCAATCTTGAAATGACACAGGTGTCAATCAAACAGATGCCCACACAGACCTGAGTAAAGGTCTAATCAGAAACATATGAAAACACCTGTGTGGGTGTACCATGGAGCTGTAGAGGCTTTAATTATTAGCAGTAAAATATACTTAAAAGTACTCATTAGGCAGCAGTATTGCCCATGCTACTGTGTTATTATTTTATTATTATTATTAGATTAGATTATTATTAATTATGCATAACTGGTTGAAAAAAGAGCTACATTTAATTAACTTGTATACTGCTGGGCATTATATTTTCTAATAATCATAGCTTTTGTATGTGTAACCTGTCAAGTAATTTGTTATTAAAGCTACTGAGGGTTGTGATGCTGTTTCTATACATAACACACCTACACAACAACATATATTGGCTGTAGTTTGACGTATTTTGAAATCCTGAATCACAACACATTTGCTGTTCCACACTTGTGATTCAAGGAGCTGTGTGGTGAAGTGTGGCAGTACTCCAGCAGCCTGATGTGCTTTCTGAACGGCCTGCTCCTTGGTAATGAGAAGGATCTCACCAGCTGGGCCAAGAATCAGTGGAGTTTCACTTTCACTCGGCCGCAGGCTTTCTATGCGGCTCTCGCTGAGGACGACTACACCAAACACCTCCAGAAAACTGGGGCAAGTCACTGTCACATACATTACAAATATAGGTAAAACAAATAGATGTATGGAAAGTTAATTCTGTGTTTGTGGTGGGTATCAGGAACCATGTGTTTGACTTCTGTACATAGTTTATTTAGTGCAGAATTGAATTACCAACTTCAGACTTTTGTATATGAAGCTCTGCTGCTCAGGCTCTTGTCATAGTTAAAGTCATCTGTAGCTCTTCTAGCTAAATATTACTCTGTAAAAACTGCACATTTATTATATTTGAAATATTAAAATGAAAAGAATACACATCTCTGTCCTTTCTTTATAGCACCAGTTTGTCTTCATGGACATTCAGATAGCGGGAGAGGCAGCAGGGAGGTTATTGTTTGAGGTGAGGAAGCACCGAGTTGTGTATTTTCACCTTGCTACCACATTTTATCTCAACCCTCGGACTTTCCAAAGCATCCCTCATAGTCAAAATGTGACAGAACATTAATAGATGTTAGAGAAATTGCCGCTGTAAGAAACTAGACAACCTTATTGTTCTCCCTCTCCTCAGCTGTTCTCAGATGTTTGTCCAAAGACATCAGAGAACTTCAAGGCTCTGTGCACAGGAGAGCGAGGTCTGTCACAGAGCGGCCTCCCTCTTTGCTACAAGGGCTCTTTGTTTCATCGTGTGGTGCCCAACGGCTGGGTGCAAGGTGGAGGTATGGCCCGCATCGTAACATAGTCCTGTAACAATGATAACATATAAGTGGTTTTCACACACAAATGAAGAAGTGTTGGTACGTTTTTCTGACCGCTGGTACTCGCTGGGTGTTGACCGTCGGCTGTGTGGGACTGACTGAGGGAGGGAAGGTCACAAATGATGATGCTGGAGGCTTTAGTGACAATCCGCTCCAGTTTCCTCTTGGAGCTGAACTCACAGATGAGACAGTGAGGGTTGATGTGAGGATGCTCTTTATGCCAGCTTTATAGAAGTAGACATATATCACAGCATGATAGCATCCCACACTGTCTGGTATGGTATGAGTTCAGAGGAAACGCTTAACTTCCTAGTCACGTATTTTTTTGTTTAGATTATGACAGCGCTTGAAGTCATCAAAAAAATATTGTGAGATTGAAGAAGTGAGTCAAAAATATCTTGAAATGTGTCACTGTGGTAACTGTGTCTTTCTTTTTATTTTGCAGATATTTCTCCAGAAAAGAAAGGTAACAGAGGGGAGTCGATCTACGGACCAACTTTTGAAGGTAAAAAACATACAAGACATGTGTAGTTGGTCCTGGATTCACTCATACTGTCTGTAATGCGTCCCTTTTCCTTTTAGACGAGAGCTTTGCCGTGTCACACACTAAACGGGGCACTCTAGGAATGGCTAATAAAGGTCCCCACAGCAATGGATCCCAGTTCTACATCAGCCTGCAGCCAACACCCTGGATGGACAGGACCTACGTTGCCTTTGGGTCTGTATCGCTAATTTGATTTGAGAGTTTAATATTCTGCATAGCCTCAGCTCTCTTATACAGAGTTGTTCAAGCCTAACGTCTTTATTTTTTCCTTTCTAGTCAAGTGGTCGAGGGTGTCGACGTCCTCAGGAGGTTAGAAGAGACTCCGACTTGCAATGAAAGACCCAAGTATGAATGTAAAGTTACAGATTGTGGCGTGTTTAAGGTTTAGCACCGACGCACTGATGTATTTTATAATATATATAAAATAAACACAAGATACATGTTAACATCTGCAAACAAGTATTTTGCTTTCCTACAGAACCTTTGTACGCATTTGTAATTTGGCATTCTGTTTATAATGTGCACGACTCAGATGAAACGTTTTGTCAACTAGCATTTTATCTTTAGGCATGAGAGGGATAATTATTGTACTTTTATAATGATATCTGTAGTTTTTAAAGTTACATTCAATGTGTTTATTGAGAAAATACTTACAGGTGGTACCAACGATATTCATAATATTCATTAATGTTACCAGATTGAGTATAAATGCATATAAACCTGTGCAGGTACTGAAATGCAAACCCAACTAATATGGGAAGAACTACATATGTATTGTGTTACTGATGACACCAATAAGTAAATAAGAATATAAATTTAAAAGAGAAACACAGAAACAGAGCAAGCAGTTGAGAATTCATGTCTTAAATGTGTGACCTAATTTATTGCTTAGAATCATATCGGCTAAATAAAAGTGAGGCCACATAGAAGAGCCTGCACCTGTATCTGTTTTTTAATTCAGATAGAGATAACCTGTTATCTAGTAACTAAATTAATTCCTACTAGTAATCACGGTCAGTTTCTCACGTTTATAACGAACCAGATTTAATGGGAATCGGTTCAGAATTAGGCGAGTTACAGACGATTTTATAGTGAGGTCTGTATCTCTCAGTAGTGTTAACCAGCGGGTCTCGACCTCCCCAACATGGCGACCACGCAGACGTCAAATGGAGAATGTTTCTATATCTGTGATTAGGAGCACTAGGAGGAGCCAGAGGAACCTCATTTTTCTACTGATGATCCGTCTCATGTGATACTGTCAGGATATAGTGAAAGTTTCAGTAAATATGACAAAAAATAATTTTTATAAAAAGTACCTACTGCAGCTTTAAGGAAAAAAGGGGGCAAATCATCAAAAGGCCTTTTTAATTTTAAAGGGTTTAAAATAACGTTTATATTTTTTATATATCTCACAGGATAAGAGCATGGTGAGGTCTGGAGCACAAACTATAGCCTGATAGAACAAAGGACAAACATCGAGGAGTATTTTTGTTTGTAGCCTATGATTGCTAAAAAATAATAATAATACAAACAGTAAATTGTATTAAAAAAGTACCTAAAAATATCAGTAAAACTCACCTCTGATGCAAAATTCACAGGAAATACTTCACAATTTGAGTTCATTGTGCAATTTATCAGTTCTTTATTGTTATATAATATAAAATGCCACTCAGGGGGGTTAATCTAAATACAGTATCTATCTATCTAT